TTTGCTGAAATCTAATTTTTTTCTGTGTGTGGTCGGTTCATACAACTAATATAACGCCCTGCAGTCAGACGTATGTGTAACTGGTATACAAATTTTTCTGACAGTAATAATGGAAAGAGCCGTCAATGGATCAGTTTTAAAGTTATTCAGTAATGAGAGCCAACTTTAACATCACAAATCATAACATGAAGGAAGCTAAACTTAAAGCGATGGCCTTTGGTGGAGCGGTGACTGCAACTCCTGTAGAGAAGTCTGTTAGGCTGTGGTGGGACTGTGATGTGCTTCACTGACAGACTTCTTTCATAAGTTCAAAATTATAATTTTCAAACATCTTCTAAGTCTGGATTTTCTGTGTCTGCCTTCTTCTGGTGCAGAATTACGACCCATGTCTCACATCCGTGACATAAACATCAAACTGCAGATGCTTTGAAAACTATCAAATATGTATCTGATTTGGTACCGTATACAAAAGTGGCTCAAGTCGGATTTTTGGGAGGTGAGAAGATTGGAATGGGGCCGTTCAGACTGACTGCCGTAAACGTCGCATATAGGTCAAATATGAGAAAACAAACAGAAAAAAGATGATTTGAGTTGTACGATTTGAGTTGACATCTATCTCAGTGTAGGCATAGTCTTCCACTATTTCATTTTCTTGCCCAAACCTTCTGCAGAAAACTGAATCTCTCATCAATAAGTCCTTGGCTTTTGTACAAGTCTAACTCCTCTTGTGAAGATTTCCTGATTGGGCCCAAAAGTTCTCACTGCAACATTAGAACTGCATTTACTAAATTTATGGACACGTTCCATACTTAAACAAGCACTTCAGTGTTGAGTTAAAATAATCTGATTCAGTGAAGTTTATTACTCTTAAACAGAAAGTAAAAACAAAAGGAGTAACCAAAAAACATCCTACAGTAAGTGAAACAGGACACATGGAGAAATAGCTAACTCTATGGCCCAGTTGTTGTTTTTCAGAACCATTGTTGCTTTTGACTAAGTCAAAGGCACAACATTTCTTCTCCATGCCTTTTAGTACACTAACAGAAAGCCATTTACTTGTTTCACAGAACTTCGATTCACAGAACTGAAAAGTGGAAATGCATGTGACGACTCCTGTGGCAACTAGTTCTTCTAGGAAGCAGCTAGAAGCACAGCACAAAAGGTATGTTGTAAAAAAAGAAAGGAAGAGACACACACACATGCACACACACGCGTACACACAAAAACAGAGAGTTGCCCCCAAGCTCAAAGAAAGAACGATGTAAAAATAGATGATTGGGAAACCAAGTGACCAATATGACTTGGCATATTGGTCACTTGCATTGTGAGGTTGATTAGTTGCACGTGACCAGATGTTCATGCTGTGAGCAAATTATCTAAAACTGTAAAAAATAAAAATAAAATTTTTTATCTGTATCTATGGCGATCTGTAGTCCTGGACATCACAGGAAAGTGACACTAATGACGACTTTATTGTTGGGAAGTTTACTGGTATTACTGGTGTTTTTTTCTCACTCCATTTACAGTGAGGAGGCCTTCTTCCATGGAACCAGGGTTAATAAAATCAGCACAAAGCCCGAGTTGATTCCCCACCCTAAAAGTTCCTGGAGAGTGGGTCTGAGCAGCAGCCATGTGGTCTGCCGAACTTCAAGCAAAATAAAGCGAAAAAACATCCAATTGTCTCCAGGGCAAAACTGCAGACATGATGAGCCAAATGTTTTCTTGGAATTACTGAAACTGAGGCGGTCGGCATTTAGACAAACAAATACAAGACTGCACCATAAAATATTAGGAAGACATTGAGGGCTTTGTGTGCCCCCTAACACTACCCCGACGTTGACGCTGCCCCTTACAAGAACTTTAGAAATGATGTGGTGCTCTGGCCCCCATAAGGCTAATAGACCAAACAAGGTCATTAATTATGCTTTGAAAGGTCCTCTTTTGGTAACAACACAAACTCAGACACACACATGCACATGACCGCTCACATGTTCAGAGGCTAAACAGCGTTTACTGTACAAACACTAGATTACAGCCAAACCTCTGGTACTACAAGCCGGGCAGGGATTGGTTTACCTGCTGGCTCATGCAGCCTGCTGTCACTGCTTTGTCTGAACAGCTCTTAAAGGGATTGCTCATTTTTTTGAGTGTTAATCTGCTGAAAGGTTATGAGCAGGTACTAATCTAGCTAAGGCAGGTGATGTAGTGACGGTCTTCACTTTGTATAAATACATAATCATTTCTCGCAGAGGTTGAAGCTCAGGGCTGCTCTGAGAATGGAAACAGAAAAGAGTTTATGCAACTACTGCATTGAAAACGGGTGGAAATTAATAATCGATTCTTGCTCAACAGTAATAAAGGCTTATTGTTTTGTACTCAAACCTGTATTTTCACTTGAGCCTGTTGGCTTATGTATAATATTCATTTACACTGTAAACTACATTTGTTACTGAGAATTTCTGTGTTCCCCCATTGTGGAAGGAGAGAGCATATTTCTCCAGTTTTAGCTTCTCCTGTTTGGCTCCCTGTTAAATCCAGAACACCATTTACATTTCCTTTCATATAAAGACATTAATTCTCAAGCCCCATCATATAGTAGAGATCTTATTCTTCCACAAATTCCCCAACTAAGTACTTTCCTCTCAGGCTGCAGGTTTACCAGTAGAGTTTCTAACAGTAGAATTGGAGGCAGATCCTTTCGTTATTAGCTCCAGCAGACATCCTGTATACTTTTAAGAGTAGGCTTAAAAGATTTACTTTTAGTAAAGTTTGTAGAGTGACTTATGTACTTATTAAGCTGCTATAGGTTTAGGCTACTGGAGGACAAACTGATTATCATTATCCAGTTTCCTACTTTCTCCTCCTATTCTACATTCATGTATTATCTGTAGTTGTTGCTGACATTAACTCTTTTTTTTAATTACATTTGCCATGTTTTCCTGTTAAAATGGAGGCTTACCCTTCTACCAATGACATGTGAGTCATGGCTGCAAATGCAACGACTTCAGTAAATCCACCGTCGCCACACGCTTATTCAGCAGGAGAGATTCAATGCAATCGACTGGGCTTGGCTAGAAAACTTTTCACCACTTGGAATAATTTACTGACTTGAACTACAATTTACATACATGTCCAAGTATTCTTTTTTAAGGGAAGAAATCAACACTTCCTTTAAAAAACACCAAACTAGCTGCTAGCTGACAAGAGCTACAAAAAAACTTTTGTCACAGAATGGAGTAAACAAGTAACTATTGGAAACTACAGTTAAAGTTGCTCTTAACAAAATTGTTACTTGTTGATAAAAACTCGTTGCACAATCAGTATCACTCTAGTGAGCGCACAGCCACCAGAATGTTCAGTCAGAACTGTTTCTCATTTTCTTTTCCATGGCAGCTAACGTTTCCACGTAACACTTTAAGTATCCAGAGGGCAAAGCTTAATTCCAATAATGGAGAATATTTATAATGGTAGTGATCCAGCCTGCACGTCATCCGGATAATCCTCTACATCCATAGACGGCATAAGCCTACAGAATGTGCAATTATTTACTTATATTTGCTTTAGACAGTGCTTTATTTTGAGTTAACATGCAATAAAACAACAATGTTAAATGTTTATGTAGTTTATGCATTCTGCATTATCTTTATGATGACCAGGACGACCTCTGTGTCTTCAGTCGGCCTACTCAAAGGCCTGTCTGACAGACAAAGTCAACTGAAGAGGATTTATGAGGACTATATAGGGTATGAATAAGGAACCAACATATTTTTCATTTTAATTTATTGAGCTTACATAATTCTGATTAAGCAACATGGGTTATTTTTTAAGTAAAATGTTTGTTTTTTGCATAACCTTGAGCTGACTGATAGATACTGATGATGTCTGACAGCTAATGTTTAAAAAGAATTGAAAACCGACCCATTAACTGTATAACTGTGTTTCTCAACACTGTCCACATTATTCTGAGGCTCCCAAACTCATTATACAAACCAAGAGAGAATAATACAGACTATTTTCTTCCATAATTACATGTGTTACCATTTCTATGTTAAAATGGTTAATAGCCTGTACTTGTGTAGCACTTTATCAAGTCCTGAGGACCCAAAGTGCTTCTCACTACATTCAGTCATTTATACACACATTAACATACTGATGATGGTAAGCTACATCGCAGCCACGGCGGCCCGCGGCGTTCTATATTTACATTTTAGTTTTTTATATCCACTCCAAAGTAAAAATAAAAATGCTCCTGCAAACAAAGCATGTTCCTCTGAAGAGTTCATTTCATCAGTTTTCTGTTTGCACTTTAGTGACAATGAAAAAGCATCAAAACAAAAGTGGAATCGTTGTTTCTTGATCGAGTGGTGTGTTTCTGTGGATGGCAGTAGGAGGGAGAGGAACTTGATTTTTGTCACAGGTTTTCAGTCTTGCGCTGCACTTTTAGGACATAGTGATGGTTTTTACCTTGATGTCTCAAAAATCTCTGTCCCAAAGGCACAAACTAGCTGTGCTTCCATTACTGATTTGTGCAAAACTTGGTCGATATTTCCCTAATGTTTAAAAAAACTGAATTTTGTAATTGCAGTGTTTTCATAAGAAACGCAATTCAAATTGCATGTGAATAAGTTTATTCACATGATAAGTCGTAAAAATAAACATGCTATAGAAAGGTTTTTTTCATATGGATGGCAAAACTATTAATTTGGCAAAATATCTCTGTGGAGCCTTTTCAAGTGATTCTCATACATATGTGTGTTTTCTTTTGGTGATCTAGTTTCTTCCCAGTATCAAAAACATGAACTTGAAACTACCTTATCTCTGACTGACTGCTGGAGATCGACTCAGTGAATGAATGAATGGATGATTCAGAAAAATACAATACAGAGACCAAGTGCTTCATATGTTCCCTGTTAGTTCAGCTGAACCTCTAACAACAGTACTAAATGTGTTGCTCATGGTTACGGCAGACAGACGGGCTATATTTTTGAATTAACTTTATAAAAAAATGAGTCGTGCTTCAGAAGTGAAAAGACAAAGTTAATTAGAAAAAAAAATGCATCCTCAGGAGGATACATCATTTCACACCTGATTGTTTCTTGCCTGATGTAAATTGTAGCTTTTACTCAACAATTATTCATGGCCTGGGTTAAGAAATCTCCATTCCTTCAGTCAATGAGCATATTCTGAATATAGGAGAGTTATCGCTCTTCTTTTGTCCAATGACATCATTCCCTTGCTTCACAACATTGTATCAGTATGCACCTGACTGTCTTAATAGAGCTAAGGCTCAGAGGAAATGAAAGTTTCCCCAGAACCTTTGATCTGTGGCACAATGTGCTACGTCCGTTCTTCAAAAAAAAAAGAAAAAAAAGACATATGTCATAACATAAAATGTATCTCCTCCCAAATTTACTATGCGAGCACCACAGGGTTAAATTAGAGTGATGATGCTGTTGCACCAGAAATCTGCACTACAGATACCATAATACACATAATACATTGTGCATTGTGGTATCCAATAAAGAAGCAGGGATACATTTTCTCCCTCTACTGTGTAGAAAATAGAAAATCAGAGTGGCTTCGGACCAAGCCCCCCTGAGAGCCACAGCCGGGTGACCCAGTTGGTCCTGACTGACGAAGGTCACCAGCTGACCAAAACGAGCTACGACTCCACCAGTGGAAAGACTCATTTGGGAATAAAACCTCTGCGTTCGTCCCAAACGTGGCGATGTGATCCTTCATGTCACAGGGCATGCGAGGACATCAGCCTGGACTCAAAACCTTTATTGTGAGCCGGGCCGCTGCGGAGCGGGCTGCAGGGGAAACACATGAAGCGATTACCCGCTTTGTTCACTTCCAGGACACACACGTTCTTTGTTGACTTAACTCTGTCTGGATCAAGAGGGGCACACACAGGTCAGTATACCCTGCTCTAGAGCTTCAATTCCAGATTCTACATATAGCATGCAGATAAGAGTGTTTTACTGAGAAATATTCTCAAGCCATTTCCAGGTTTCGAACCTTAAACTACTGCGTTAGCTTCAGCTTTTTTCAAATTTGCAATACTGAAGCTCCTCCATGTGGACAATAATTTGACCTTTGCCCTTTTCTGCTGTTTACAGCCTGGTGGTTTAATCAGCTGTGCACAGTAAACTTTAGCTCCCGATGTTTAAACTCTTGTCAACACTTGTCTAAATAAATCAATAAAAAAATAAATTGTGACTGCAGATGTTTTAAATAGTTTCTTCCAATACTTCAGAAGATGTTGTAGCTTTTCAGAACTCGTTTTGTAACAAAGTCAAGTTTTGGAACCTAGTTTCTGGTTGAATTGTGTGATATTCTTTCCAAATTTAATCTAACTTCTAAAGCTATCATTTCAAGTTATTTTTTAATACCTAACTCTCATTAGATGCATTTCTACCAACCATAAAATTACACAGGCTGGAATTGAGAACCAATTTGCTGAATTGAAACATTGCAATTAAAAAGTTTTTTGGTAAAATGTTTTGGTGCTAGGATCAGGCGGTTTTTCAGCCATATCAAAATTTTTGTGTTTCACAAAACTCACAAAATGAGAGCAAACACACCTGTCAGAGTGTCAGCTCTAAGCTGCAGAGTTCAAAACGCCTTTTTTACCTGACAACACAAGAATTTCAAAAATATTTGTAAGACAGACTGTGAGAACTGATTTTGATTTATCTATCAGTTGTATGTTCTGTTGCATAAAATATCACCCTGTCGTATTATTTCTCCCTTCTGACATTTGTGTGTAATTCTATCAGTTAAGGAATTCCTGAGTCGGCGGAAACCTCTCTTGTGTGGTCACTGAATAGATTGTAATCAGTTTATTTTAGTGCTGCAGTGAACATGTCTGGGGCAAAAAGGACAGCAGTTCCCTCCAGCTGAACTGCCTTTACAAAACTGAGATGAAAAAAACAAACAGAAACATTTTCTGCCCCCTGTGGATGCCGTCAGTTGCTGAACTGCCTAGTGACATCAATCTATTTCCCAGCCACAGACATGATGAGTGAAGTCATTTTGCACATCCTGTTTATATTTGACTTTCTTTCTGCTGCAGACTCCATTCATCTCTCTTTTTGCCTCATTAACAGCAGTAGATTAGACCAGCTGTTCTCACTCAGTACATCCACAGTCCACTGCTGCACCATTTCACAAATGTTTAAGTTTAGCCTTAGGGAATGAAACGTTTCATTCATCAGCATAAAGAAATGACTGAGAACAAGCAATTCAACTCAAGCTCAATTATAATTGATGCGACACAGACAGCGATGATGCATGAAGCAGGTTTGAGCAAGAAGCATCTTTGTCGCATACCGAAAAAGAAACATGAAACATTTCTGTGTTTTTCTATGTTATTTTTTAATCATTTTAGCTTAATATACACAAATTGCATATAATTTGGTCAGGCTCACAGGATATGGTGTTTTCTTTCTTCAGGTCTTTGTAAGCCGTTCAAATAGAGCAATCTGTATCTGCAATTATGAATGTTTCCCCATCTGCTAGTATTGAGGTCCTTCTGTAATTTTAAGTTGCATTCCGTATTAAGCAACACACATAATGGGTGAAAAAGAAAGTCAACTTTTTGATGACTGAGCAGTTATAATAAAGCAATATAAAACCTGTGTGGGGACAAATCATTGAGCACATGGGAGGGAAAACATTCGGTCTGTTACAGTGTTACGTTTTCAGGCTTGATGTTTATTTTGCAATTATTAATTAATGATTGCTTCGACACAGCAGTTTAGTTAGTTAATGTAAACTGCTCTGCTGATGAGCTCTCAAACAGTTGGAATGTGGGTCGTCTTATTTTTGTGTTAACTGAACCAAAAAACCAAATTCTGCAGCACATGCTCATGGTAAGGTTGCCAAAGTCAAGCTAGCACAGCTAGCCTACATACCACTTCCACACAATTCTTTTTCTAAATTAAAAATGTTCACTGACTGGTTAAATCTGATACCCATGTTCCTTATATTATCTAGTAGTCATATTGATGACAGTTAATAGCAAAACATTGCATCCCTATTTAACCGTGTGATTTTGTTACTTTCCCAACCATTGATACTCCTGACTCAATGCATAGCCATCTTCTAAATGGGTCCTGAGGTCAGAAGTGGTTTGTGACATGAACCCCAAACACCACAAGCCACAGACCACTGAAGCATGGTGGCTGAGACATCATGGACACATGAGAGTATGGGGAGGTTTCTCATACCACGATGATGTGGATGTTATAGTATTATTATGTTTTCCTAACTCTGAATCCCATCAATCAAAAAATTTGTCATGAAGAGGAAAATATATATATGTATATATAAGTTGCATTTCCCAGCCTCATGTTCTTCAAGCTGCGGACTCGTTCCTAGTGCTCTGGCCGTCTCACTTCTGGTCTGGGCTTATCTTTCCTCGCTGCTGCAGATGGTACAATGTTTACTCCTTGTCTGATGTCCGTTGGTATGAATTAAAATTTAATGTGTCTGTCAAAAAGTGCATCATCAAGAGGAAAATAATATATGCAAGTCACACCTGACTATAAATCAGTCAATACCGTTTCTGATAAGCGAACAGAGACGGCTCATTGTGTTCTCTTACTTTGCACAAGTTTTAATTAAAGTAAACAACATGACAGCTGGTCATCTGATGGAGGAATCAGCAGAAAATCAAAGGCATAGTGGTATCCCAGTGCACCCTACTCTCTGCTCCCTAAACATCTGTCAGTGGAAGCTGGATCAGAACTTCCTTCAGATCCAGGACTTTTCAGCGGGGCTTGTGACAGGAAGTGAACCAGTACTGGATGATGTTGTGAACTTCACAGAGCAGGTGGGCCGGGCCAGGGCTCTCCACAGACTCTCTGGCTCATGGGAGGATTTGAAACGCATGAAGTCAGCAGGACTTTGTAAAGTAACAAAGTGTTTAATCCCTTTATCTACAACAAAGAGGTTGACCTTAATTACAGATGTAAGAAACAGTCATACAAAATTATCATAGCCCATTAAACATTATGTTCTTTCAAAGGAAATGTTCTTACATTGATGTCTTATAGTTATTAATTCATCAATAAGAGAATGATCAAGTCACCCCACTGCATCTCATGAAGATAAAAATCTGAACTTTACCTTTCTTCATTCTCTGACTGTCTTTGATAAATTTCTTGGTATTTCCCATCCTGCTTTATTATATGGTTATACGGTAATAATAAGTGGAGGTCACAAGTATTTGTGGGTTTCAGGCATTCATGGTAAAATTTGTGGTGGATTCTATGATGAACTGCAGCAGCACTCAAAGTCATTTGCTTCACAGATGGTTTGAGGTTCTTTCCCTGGAATGCTGTATTTGGTTTATGCCAACATCTTCTCTGTTCTTGAGGTCAAATAATTCAATTGTGGACTCATTTGACCAAAGAATATAACAAATGAACCAATGAGACTGAAGACTCCTGTGTTCTCCATATTTTGTGAGCCACCCAGACTCCACGCACTCTCTGTGCAGATGGTTGGGGTTAGGGTTAGTGTGATGTGAACGCCGCTTCCTGCTGGGCAGTTTACTGTGGGATACCAAGTATGTGTAAGTGTTGGTAAACATTTACATTTGCATGAATGTGTCCAGTGGACGTCTGCTTTGAGTCCACAGTGAGTCTGTCTCAATTACGCGTGGTCCTCTGTGTAGTGGAGTACACCCGAGTATGTTGGGGCCTTCGTAGTGCCATGGTTCCTCTTTACTGCGTCTTCCAGATTATCCAGGCAGGTTCTTCAACATCAACAGTAGAACACGGGCGGGCAACTCCAGGTCTCAAAGGCCGGTGTCCTGTAACTTTTAGGTGTGTCTCTTCTTCATCACACCTGAGTCAAATAATGATGTCATTAGCAGGACTCTGGATAACTTGACTGCACTTAGGAGGTGACTTGGGTATTTAATTGAAGTGTGTTGGACCAGGGAGACATCGAAGAGTTCCATGACACTGGTCTTCGAAGACTTGGATTGCCCACCCATGAGCTACAGCCTTCTGAAGGTCAGCAGATAAGATTTTAGTGTTTTTGGAGACTTCTTTCAGCATCTTGCAGCCTCCTCTCAAGGTGAAAATGCTTGGTTGGCTAGACCTCAGCACCTTGATGGTTGCTTTATTTGTAGACTGCTTTCTGTATGGTTATGGTTATGGAAAAGCTGATTTTCAAATTACTTTGATCTATCTCAATATCCCCTAACAGACTCATAATCTGCAACAATCTTCGTTCTGAAGATTCCAGAAAGCTCTTTGGTCTTAGTCATGCTTGTTTGATGTCATTTTAAGTGAGTGTAAATTTGTATCTATCCTTTATGTTCCTTACCACAAAGGAAATTAAGCTTTTTATTGTAAGTTCATTTTTTACTTGAATATTTCAGTTTTGCTAAGATTCATGTTAAGCCCACAGGCTATTGTTGGGTGTCCAGACTGATTTTCCTTCTTGCTTTATGCCGTAAGCTTGGCTTTTCTACCTGTGACTGAAAATGTCATCTTTCCAGAGCTCCTATGGTTCCACTCTGTTTCATGTGTGCAGCAAATGATTGTGCATAGCTGCCTCCACTCAGCTCATCAGCTGCACAGTATGAAAGCCGAGAGATGCATTGTGTGTCATTGGATGTTTTGGCAACATAAGCATGCTTTCTGGAATTGGTAAAAATATCTTCCTCCCTTACAGGTTTCTTCTTTTTTGCTAAGCCAACTTGGGCCCATTTCAAAAGGTAATTACCGCCTAAACCTAATAACAGGTTCTGCCACCCTGGGAGCCAATGGCTGCCATCAGTTGTTTTCAGTGACCAACACTTTTACATTGCAGTTGGGAAAATTTGGCCCACTCTCCTTTAAAAAATTGAGGGCTTAACAGCATGAAGGTCAGTTGAAGGTCATACCAAAAGATAGAAGCCCTGGCTTTGATAAGGCAGTTTAAAAAAGCTGTGTATACATTTTATATCACCTGTATAAGATTTAGTGAATGTCAAAACATGCAATAATCTTTCAAAAACCATCCATTCATCAGCTGTAAGTGTTAGCATGAACCAGACACATGTATCAGATGTTTCTCATTACCTGATATGCCAAAATCAAAAATGGCAAGGTTAACGATCATGAGTTCAGGAGGCTTCAGCTTGGTCTTGCGTTTGATGGTCATATAAATGACAAAGCCATTTCCTGTTGCAGACAGGATTCCTGTCAAGAGAGAAATAAAGTTTTACTGTATGGCAATCTTTTTTCTTCAAGTCTTGTATCATAGCCTGGCAATTGCCCTCCCCTCAATTCCACTCTATTGTCATCTCCCTTCAGTCCTCTGTCTAAAGATTTTCCCTTTGCTTTCATCCTGACCAATCAGTGAACAGAAGGAGTTCCAAAAGATGCATAGATTTTTTTCTGCGCTGTTTTAGAAATATAGTTTGCCTGTGGTTGTAGTTTGGCGACAACAGTGGAGGAAGAGAACAAAGCCATTTAGACCATGTTGGCCACACCTCCAAAATACTTTATTGCTAGCAAAGATGTAGCACGATAAGCTTCATATCGCGCAGCTTACTTCAGCTTGCAGAGCCAAACGTTAGCAGCAAGCAATCATTTCTCAATAGTTGAAACTCCAGACCCTTTGTACGAAGCAAAGTAAGGAACAACTTGTTTTTACCAGGCTACTTCTTTGTGTTCAGATCTTTAAAGAAAAGTCACTTCCTGTCAGCGTTTAGCTGCAGGACCAGAATAATCCTAATTGGAGCTAGAATGTGAAAAAATAAAACTTTCACCAGCATGGATAACTTGGTTACCTATTAACAGGCCATCAAACCTCTTGTTAGTTTTTCATCTAAGATTCCATCGGCAAAGTGATTGTAGATTACACCAAGTTAGAAGGACGGTGGAGTTTTGGAGAAGTAGAAGGAGATAAACCACAGCCATGTTCAAACCTCAGCTGGCAGGTGGCTCGTAGTCGTGCTGATGTTTCACATATTAAATACAAGAAATGATGAGAAAACACAACACACATGATATAATGCTGCCCCTTATGTTTATCTTGCAGTGTGTTACACTTAAAAGGAAACTTTATATATATAATTAATTTTATACAAAATACATGAGGAATATTATGGAGGTATGATGTGTAAAATTTCTTTTTTTGTACCTTGTAATGTTTTATACCCATGTATGCATCTCAAAGACATTAATTAGCCTAATGCTAATTAGTTATGGAGGCTATTTGTGCTTCGGTGGTTGGCAGGTGATGAACAAAGAGTTATCAAAGTCTTCCTATTAGCTGCTGTTGCCTGAAAATACCAGGATGTTAATGAGTCCAGTGGGACCTGACAGCACACCAGAGAGCCATGAAACCAAACGAAGGAGCTGCAAAGCCGCACTGAGCCGATGTCTGGGGGATAGCATGGCTCTGACCTGGACATTTTATGTTACATGAAAGGAATATATTCTAAAAATATAATTAAGCACCAACTGAAAACTGAATTGTGGTCTTTAGTATTATGAGGTTTTTATTGTGTCTTTTAGTGTTCATCTAAATGATGAGAGTAAGAACAACATAATTAGCCCTAAAGGCTCTTCATATATTTTGTGGTTTTTTTATGTTTTATCCTGTCATAGTTAATTGTATTAGTGCAATTTGAAGAGCACCGCCAAATAACATTCCAATAAGTTATTTTAACTAAACATTTCAGAACACAGATCAGATTCCATTATAAATAAATAAATAAAAAGATTTTATGTAAAAATTTAATGGATTCTGTTTTGTTTTTGTTTTTTTGTTTTTTTCATTTTCTTCTCATTTTCCCTTCAACTTTGAACTTTTATGGCCCTCACTTGAAGAACGCTGCTTTACACCATAACCTCAACTTGGAAACTTGGGGCAATCTGCCGTGCGCAGAGGCAAACCGACCTCTGGCAGGATGAAGCCGGAATCCGCCCACTTTTAGACCGCCAGGCTAAAGATCCAACTGCCTCAGTCACCTCCATGTTATTGGAAAAATTTAACGCATTAACCATCACCAGCAGACACATGCAGATTAAGTGGACGTGTGGCTTTAATGCAGTCCAAAAATAAACAGTTAAACCTGCAGCATCTCCCCCACAGACTGAGCAGTTTAGCCTCCAACTCCAAGCTGTTTCCCATCAGATGCTTCCCATTCAGCCAGTTTGATCTGCACAAACATTCCTTTAACTGAATAAACCACATTCATCGCTGTGACTATATAGGGGAACTCACGGTGAAATTAATTTAATAACTGCCACAATGAGCGGACTGTGCACCTCCCGCATTTCCATGTACTCATATGATACACGAGGAAGGAACATAATAGCGAATGGAGGCTCTCTGCCAAAGCTGGGCTGTGGGTCGATGTGAAAGTTATTCGTAAAAAAAACCAGACAAACACTCTGAGACGGGATGAACTGTCTAACCCCTCCGCCTGGTCCTCCTAATTAGGTTGGCCGATTTGGATGAATAATAAGGATAAATAAAATGCATTCCATGTCTTGCTCAATATCCTGCTGTATTAGTTAAATGAGGTAAAGAACGAACACTTTACACTGGAACTGGAGGGCCCAAAACAATATTTAAAGGGGAATAAAAAAAAACACACAAGCGTAACATAAATAAAATCAACTAGATCACAAAGTCATAACGCTTCCAAACATATGAATCATCAGAATGATTACTGGAACACACATACTCCCAACCACCAACTTCAGTGTGTTTTATTGGGTTTCTTATGTGGCAAACCAGGACAAAATGGCATATGAATGAGGTTTTAAAATGTTTTCACAAACAAAAATCTGAAATGTGTGGCTTGCAATTAAACCATGCAATTGTGAAATGTAACTTTTCAAAATTCAACTCTCAACACTTCAAAGAACATGCCACTCCAGTGGTGAAACACAGTGGTGGAAGTATCATGCAGTGGGGATGAGGCTCTGCATCAGGGCCAAAGAAAGCCGGTCAGGACAAAGAGAAGAGGAGAGCTAGAAAGATAATTACGACTGCGTTTAGATCAAAAGCCTATTCAAGTGTCAGAATGGCCTAGTCAAAGTCCAAATCTAAGTTCTAATAAGTCTTTGCCAAGAATTGAAAACTGATGTTCACAGATGCGCTCTGCCCAATCTGTCAGATGTTGAGTTATTTTACAAAGATGAATTAGCAAAGATAAGAAAAACCAGAAGCAGTAAATCAGCCAGGAATATGAATACCAAGTATCTCTGTGACCCTGGTTGTTAATGTGTCCACTCTGATGAATACACACACACACGTGTGCGCATGCATGCACACACAGAGTTGTAATCTTCCAGCCCTTTATTCCACTGAGGCAGCCATGACCTTCCCTTCTCTTTCCTTTATACTGCAGCACTGGATATCTATTTAGCTTTTATTTTGAACTGCAGCTTGACGAGTCATTTTCACACAGTAAATACAAAATGACATTGCTTCCGTTTATCTTTGCTCTGACTCATGAACCTTTGGTTCTTTGTGTATGTCAGGACCTTGGAGGACAGAAATTGCACAAAAAAAATCTGAAAACTTTACTTTACTAATGTTCACATTTGATACAACTAAGCAGATGTCATTTAAACTCTTGCTGTAAGACTTTTTTTTTGCCTTTCTAGCCTGACTCATGATTAAGAAGGAGTTAATAAAAAATTGTAGACCTTCAGACCGTTAACTCCTCACAAGCAAATTGTCTAATGGTTCTGACAGTAACTGAACATACTGTGAAATCAGTTTTGCCTTTTGTTTGCTTTTGTTGGATGTACAGCAGCTGAACCTGCTTCATTTGGGCGCCTTCACACCAGCCCTGTTTGGTCCACTTCAGTCAAACACTAGTTCCTTCATCTAGAAAGTCTGGTTCATTTGGTACAAGCAAACTCCGATGTGGACCTAAACAGCAACTCTATCCCACCTAAAAACCTTGGCCTTGGTTTGGCTGAAGTGAACTCTATTTCTGTTTGAATGACCACCAAGCAGATTGGAGAATATAACTGTCTGGGTAAAGGTAACCAAAACAAGCGATGACTCGTGGCCTTCTGCCAAAGACAAAAGTGAAATCCTGCAACTGCTAAAATCTGACACCACTCGTTTCATGAAGAAGGACGTTGCTCTCAGTGAAAGTCCATTAAAAGTGCCAATGTTGCATTAAATTGTCATTATTTACAAAATCATGCAAAGTTGGAACTTTTAATGGACTTTTAATGCAACTTTTAAGGCAACTTTGCATTAAAAGTTTCATTATTTACCGAATGACACTTCATGACAACTGTCATAAACATTCATAAGGACTCGTTCATGTTCCTAACAGGTGTTATGTCATGTTTATGACAGTGTCATGTCAGTCTTATGCACACCCCTTCAAATAAAGTGTTACCAAAATAAGAAATTAAAACCAAAGTAAATAAAAACATTCTACCCACAATATTCGCAAAAAAATTTCTTCCAGAAGTGCGTTTAGATATCAGACTCATAAACATTCACTAATAGTTACATTAAATAAAAGAAATATGATACAACATTAAAACTTTGGTCATCTCTTAATATTTTTCAGTATTGAAGGTTTTCCTCCTGCGGTTGGCGCTCACTGCTCTGGGTGAATCATCATGTGATCCTCCTGACGGCCATCAAGCAAAAGTGAGACACTGTGTTACACTCTTTTAATTTGGAGACAGTCTAACCAGTAAAAGATACAAAAGATTATTTTGTTATCAGAAACTGGTGAATAAATTATTAACGCCCCAGCACTAACCCTGTTGGGTAACTTTATTTAGTGGTTCTCTTGTGGCCATGCGAAACATAATCTGTTAAAAAGTCTGCCATAAAAATATTTTTAATAGACTTTAAAAAAAAAAAAAATTATTATGTTTTTCTTTTTTCCCAAAGCGACACAAATATTTGGTTTCTTCAATCAAATATACACAAACTAGATTTTTCCCAGCCTGAGTATCACCCTTGTGATCCCTGTGGGAGAAGCAGATCACAGTCTGTACTGTAGATTAACTTGCTATAGAAGTTTCCTCTGACTGTGACAACACTGCTCCTGGTTTCTAGGGTTCAGACTCTGTGGTCCTGCAGGTGAAACAATCCCTGCTAAAAGGACAACCTGTCTAACCACCTTTACTTTGTTGCTCATTTTCTAAGTACCCAAGTTTGTTGAGGTTTGATCTTCACAGGAGAACCTGGGTAACTCTTTACTTCCTCTTTGTGTGTCTCATAGTAGGACGTCATAGCAACTCATCAGCTTGTCTAATCTGAAAAGTTTGACCAGAGAGAGAAAGAGCAAATTTCCATTATTGTTATCAGTCAGTATTCTTTTACTGATCCTTAGATGTTTTCTGAGTTTGACGTTGTAATTATTGTTTTATGACTTCTTCAGTTCTTTAGGTTTGTGTTGGAACAGTGATACATAAATGTAGCCATACATTTGAGACTGTATTGCTATTGTCATTTAAACCTTTTCTAGCTGCAGTATGCAACTTTTATAAAAAATATATTTTCTCCATATTTATTAAAACTGTCACCATGTAGTGGCAGGATGGTATGAGAAGGATAATCTGTGAAAACCTCCTCCCAGTGCAGTCTGCAAAGATGTACCACTTCCACTGAAAAACAACCAATCAGAGCCAGAAGGAGTCCGGTCAGTCAGCCTCATGCACGCTGCTAAATGTACAAATGACGGAGAAACAACTTACTGTTGCAGGCAAATCATTTTAAACTGTCATCGAAGGCCATGCTAACTAGCCTTAGCAATTGTGGCAAGCTATGTTGTGGTAAACCACCTGTAGTTTAGCAGAAAGTAAGGAGGGAAGAAGCACAAGAGTGATTGACAGCGCTAAGACCCTCCTCCTGGCTCTCATTGGTTGTTTCTGAGTGGTGAATTTCTGCAGTTAGTACTGGGAGCAATGGGAGAAGACAGTAAAGTTAGATTTTGTCATAAATTATCTGTCTTATACTGTCATGATGTAATGATAATTTTAACAAATATGTAAAGAACATATATTTTTTTATGAAATTTACATAAGGCAGCTTTAATACAGAAAAAATATATATATAATTTTGTTTTCTTGCACCATCCACCTCAACCAAACTGTGATACTTGCAAAACCCACAGATTACCAAGATGTCCAATGAATGGATGTTTTTTGGTGAACTTGCTCTCCTGTGTCAGTTTTAACCTTCTCCAGTGTTTAATGTTTCTATCAGACTGAACAGTGTATAATAGCAGGGTTTTCTCTAGCTGCTGAGCACGTGCTGCGATACTGTTAACGGCCTCTGGGTCTTGAGAGACGTCTAGCAGATGTTATCAGAACATATTCCATTTATCCTAGTTTTCCTCCTTCACAAACACTGGCCAGTGGAGCCTGTTGGTCATTTTATAGTGTAGTTATTTGCATGGCTGACGTCTTCATCCCACTGAAACAAAGCTATCTTCTTCAAAAGCCGTTCCCTTTCACAACTCGCTAATTAAGATTTAGTAATGTGCTTTTTGTGGTTAGACAACAGAGCAGCACCAAGCTGAATCTCCTCTCTATCAGCCACCCCGCAGACCTCACTCCTATACTCAGATAATAAGCAATGGAATGCGGACAGGATATGAGGAGAGAGAGAGGAACTTCCAAATCCTCGAACCTTCAGATCTGCAAACAGGAAGTATATATTGATGTTGTTTTTGTACTTTTAATTTGAAGACTATCCCAAACACCAACTTTAGGTATTTTACAAAATCTCTGTTTGATTGTGAAGTCAAAGTCATCCTACATGCATTATCACCCTCACGCTCAACTCTAGTGTGCTCTCAACAAATGTTTTTTGTTTTTTTTCCCCACATGAGCCGTGGACCCCTGCAGCTCCTCCAGAGTTAACATGGAGCCCAACACTGCTTATTTATTGCATATGTGTTTCAAAAGAACGTGTTAGTTCCAGTCAGATATTAGCTCTTCACATGAGCCCATAAAGTCACAACATGTGCATCAAGTTCATCTGCTTCTATGAAGGATTTTCCTTTTCTTTTTTTTTCTTTTTTTTTTTGCGCTGATCTGAGGAATGTTAATGTCTAAAAAGTTAACTAACATGGTTGATTAAACTGATGGACATGAAAACACACCTGATAAATCAAAGCCAACACACTCACATTCCAGGGCAGATGAAGGCAAATCAGCAGAATGTCTTTCACTCCATTAGCTAAAAGACTTCAGCGTGTGCAGCAGCTGAGTTATTCTTGTTCTGTCATTGATTCAGAGAGAACTATTAGATTAGATAGAACACCTGCATGTGAGCTCTACCTCTGTGTGAAAAACCTTACTTTTATAAAATACCCTTAAGACTAAAGCTTTAACACCCTTCTTTAGTCAATACTGCAAGTATTGTATATACCGAGAATAAATTAGTCACATGTAGACTCTTTGCATTAGTTAGTATTTATGGGGTTTGTTATTTATTCAGGCTAAAATACAACTACACACGGTGTTGTGGTGGCACAGGGATCAAGCACAACCAACATAAAGAAGCCTTTTGAAGAAGCCTGGTGACCTTTGCTGCATGTCTTCCCTCTCTCTCATTACCTACTTTCCTGTGTGAGCACTTTCAAATAAATGACACTAGAGCCCAACAATACTTAAAAAAAAAAAACGCATTGTGTTCCAATTTTCTGCCTAATCCACCTGGAGTTGAACCAGTTATGAAGAACCAATCCATGCATGAACATTCCTTCAACTTGCTGTTCACGATGAAGACTTAGAACCTTTGAAGATGAAGGAAAGTTTTTACAGTCGATGTTTGAGCATCTGACATTTTTCAATTTTTATGACCAAAAACTGAGACTCACTGCTCTGCTGACAAAAAATGATCCATTTGGACTTTTTACGTTAGCACAGGTTAGATCAGACCTAAAAAAAATCCAATTTAACCTGGCTATTTTAAAATGCTACTAATTAAAAGTATTTGCAGACCTCTGACTGCAGTTCTTCAAAGGCAAAGGATGAGTATGGAGCCAAAATGGTAACAGTTTAGAAAGATATTAAAAAGAGATTTGGCATTAAAAAATAAAACACTGTTAAATCAGACATTGAAAAAAAAAAATCACTTGCGCAGTTAAAAACAAAATAGGCTCCTTCACAGACCTTTCATTTTTATGTGTCCAGTGCAGAGGGACGACATTCCAGGTCCAGCCAGAAGACCGAAGGAAGCTGGCTTAAAAGGTTACTCCACTCTTTAGATGTCCTAAGGAAAGTGTGTCAGGGTTGATTCATTGGTCCTGGTGCAAAACAAGCCCAAACCAAAAGCCCTCCAGCACTGTGCTCAACATTATTTTGACATGACTCTAGTGTGGTATGTTTTAGTTTCAATAAATATGATTATGAACTGAAATATCCTCTTTATTTTGAACACTTTGTTACAGAAGTCTACTTCTTCACCTGTATAGTTTTTTCAGAGCACTGTATTGCAGCATCTTTGAGTGAAGCTGATTAATATTCCCTTTGTTGGATTAGACTAATAGACTGCACACTGTATATCTTTCTTGCTGACTGATAATAGAATCTAACATTATATTTCTCCCAAAAGAGACAGGAAATGATTTCTACTCTTAGAACATTGCATCTGATCCTTGAGACACTACTATATCCTGTATTACAGAAAAGCACCAAATCCGCTTAAAAACAGAGACTCGTGGTTCCTGGAGGGGAAGAAGATAAACAAAGCCGAAACATAAGAAAACCTTGAATGAAAGGTAAAAAAAAATAAAAAAAACCTGAAGCTAACATTAACAGTAGATAGAAAGGAACACTAATCAAATGAAGCTCGATATACAAGAATACACAAGAAACTAAAGTCCAACCACCTACAGATCATGAAAGTCCCCCACATCCACACATTCCCCAAAGAGTCTAGGCAGGAGGAACAAAACCAAACCCAATCCAGGTGGGAACAGGGGGCCTCAAAAGGAGGACAACAAGGAAAACAAAAAAATAACAGGCCTGGGATGTGGAGGTGGCCTGAGAGGGAGGGCAAGAAAACAACAAAACCAAACCAGAGTTCAGATGGACAAGCTGATTCAATGACCATGATGTTCCTGTTCTTTACAGGCCTGCAAACTCTGCTTACCTTTAACCTATAGGAAATCTTTTGACTTTTGCCAAGAGGAAGATGAGTGACACCAGACCCAACAATGAAGATGAGCATAAGGCAGCTATCAAAGCAGCCTGGGCTTCCATTACACCTACAGGCTGAGCTCCTCCATGCCACGGCGCATTGATGCAGTAATTCATACAGAAGGAGATGCAACCAGGTCACAGTGCAGAGAAATGAACTGACCTGATGTTTGTGCTCAAAACATCCATCTTTACCTATATGCCAAGTCATTAAAATTTCAAAAAATAATAGCTTAAAACATTTTTACGCAGGGTAAAAATGTTTTACTCTGCGTCATGAATTTCTTTATATGGTCGTTTCACTTTCTGAAATGACTGTCAAGAAATACTGCATTTTAGGCAATATTCACAATTTTTAGATGCACATGTGTGTGCACTTATTTCCTTAAATTTCACTAAACAAACTGATCCAACTGGAGTTTAACTACAGCTGTCCTTTTAATTATATGAAATTATGTACCGTTTTACTAAGTTTTTATACTCTTAACTGTAATATTCTATCTTGCAGTGACAGCATGACATGTTGCACTAAGTTTGGGTGGAATTTTCCAAGAACTGAAGAAATCGCATTCACCAAAATAAACCCCAAACATTAAATAGTTTTGCTAAGAGGTGTGTGCAATGTGTGGAATGACAAGAAATGTGAAAGCAGTGCAGAGGTGGATGTTGGCTGATATGGAAACTCACCTATGATGCAGATGTAAAAAGCCGCAATGATGTCCGCCTCTCTGGAGAGCCTCGAAGCAAAGGGATCACCACGCAGGAGGTATTGGGGAACATATGCGGCGTACGGCCATGTTGTGTTCTCCATCACTGCTATCAGTGGGGAATGTCCTGTGAAGTGAAAGGAAGAAGGTTGAAACAATAGAAGAGCTTCCTCAAATAGAAAACGCCTCACAAAGACACAAGGTTTCAGGTAAGCATTGCAGAAAAGCAACACTTCCTGTTCTGGCTCTGCTGCATAGATCAATGCATGAATAACTTTTTTTATCTAAATAAAAAACAAACAGCATTAAAAAATCTGACGCCACAAGTGTCAATAAGTAGCAAAACAGGAAATGACTGCAAAACTGGTGTTCTATACAGGGATGCACTGATTAACTTTTTTCACTTCTTATGCCGATACCAATATCTGAAGTTTAGTATCGGCTGATTCTGATCCGATACAGAAAAACAGCTGAATTGTCTTAAGAAGCTTTTATTATTATTATTATTATTATTATTATTATTATTATTATTATTATTTTATCACAGACATAAATGTACTGAATTACAAATTTGTCCAATAGGTCTGGACAGTACAGCATATTCTGAAGCACCAAAAGCTTCACAAACATGTAAAAACAGCACAATTTGAATGTGTTCAGTCAGTGTGATTAGCAGAACAGCCAATGTAAAAGAAAAATTAAAGAAACAAATATGTAAAAATAAACTGGAACAAACCTTCTTTCAAAAGGATCATACAGTGTAATTACATATTCTAAATATATTGTAAAATAAATAAAGCCTGACATTACAAACCATAAAATTAAACTAAATAGATCTGCTCTTATGGTTCGGGCACACTGATACCAGATGTAGAATTTATCAATATCGGTGCCAATGCAGATATTAATATCAGATCGGTGTTGCTCTACTTATATGCAGGGACTGGATTGTATGACTGCAAGATGGGTGTTTTCAATTTTTCTTCCACAGAAGCAAAAATACAAATTAAACAAAGAAATATTACAGGTTTTTACTGTCTAAATCAGTGCAATAAGTTTTGTATGTTTTTCCATATGGTGTATGTGTCTGATCAATTAACATGGTTGCTCTTTTAATTTGAAAAACAACAAGGTAAAGATGAATTAAGCTACTTAGCAGCTGCTCTTAATTGGCATCTGGTGGAAGTAATCTTGTATAAAAAGGATCTTATACAAGATCTTATAACTTTTTATACTTATTAAAAGTTATAAATATCTTCTAACAGCCTGCTTGGCATTCACATGTACATTTGAACTGCAACCGTAGTTCACTTCAACCCAACTCAGACCAAGGTTTCTGGCAGAGTTCACTTATTTGGTCCGCATCAGAGTTCATCCGCTCCTCCCCAAACGAAGCAGATTCTCTAGGCAAACAAACTAGAGTTCGATTAAAGTGGACTAAACACAGCTGGTGAGAAGACAACCTTCCAGATTTTGGTAATAAACTTCTTCCTTCAACTTCAAGGTTAAGTATAATTTAGTTTTGCACTTTATTTGAAAATGTGGGGGGGAAAAATTACGAGAGTCAATACTTTGGAAGGATACAGCTTCTAATTTGGTCTTCACCATTTATGGTGAAGACCCGGAATGTCACGGCTCCATTGTTATATGATCAAATCTGAGCCAAAGTACGTCAATAACAGCAGCCATAAAAAAAGAGCTGCTCAGACATTCCCCCAAACTCTTCAGACTTTCACATCTTATTATTCTTTCATATACAAAATTTCCTCTGTTGTAGTCCTGAAAACTTATCAATGCATTTTGTACTCCAACAGTGTCGTTAACCTGAAATGCTGGAACATTCCCACTTAGCCAGCTACATGTCTAATATATGAGCCGTTCACTCCAAACGAGTTTGATGTTCCGAACATACGGGACGTGAAATCAGAGGATGCAGGTGGAATGAGCACTTCCTTCCTGGTGAAAACACAGGGGTCAGAGGAGGTCGCTGTGAAGAAGATTGCATCATTCGCTAAATCCATCTTCACCAGTCTAAGACGACTGCAGCAGCTTAGGACAAACACCGGTTTTAGACATTTTGAATTTATATGGCAGACAGGAAAAATGGCAGACATTGGAGTAAAGATGCTGCAACATTCTGGCTTTATTCGGCTATTTCTGAACGTCATTGGCTTCTGTCTAAAATACATACAAATTTGATAGAAAAGACGATCTTGTAAAGATGTCTATGGAGGAAGAAAAAAAATGATGCAGTTGAAAGGCGGTTGGGGTGGATCACATGGTTCACCCAGGATGGCATTAATAAGATTTGTCTGGGCAGGACAATCTTTATTAGACAGGAAATTAGGGTAAATAAAGTCCAATTTTTGTTTGTTTACTGGGTCTAACAAAAAAAAAAAAAGTACTGGTAAACCACAGGAGGAGCTCTATGGCTCTCCAGGCCTTGGAGGGGATACCTGACATCTTTTTCTTTGTTATGTTGCAAAAAAAATGTCCAAGTATTTGGAGACTGCAGTTTTTAACTTCGGTAACAATATGATTTTTATATACTTGTTAAAACTGTCCCGATGTCCTGACAGTGTATGAGACAGATAACCTGTGAAAGAAATCCAGCTTCTCTGCCTCCTCCCTGTGGTTCTCCTTCCATCTGCAGACAAACACTGCTTCAAAATCAACCAATCAGAGCCAGGAGGAGGGTCTTATTGCTGTCAATCATGCTTGTGTAATTCACCCCTACCCCTTGATCTCTGCTACGCTACAGCTAGTTTCCCTGCAATGGAAACAGCCATGAATGCTAAGTCTAGTTAGAACAGCCACAGATGTTAGCAGATAAACAGTTTTCCTGTAATTGTAAGTTGATTCTCCACCATTATTACATTCAGCAGCATGTACAAGAGCATGATTGATGGCGCTAAGACCCTCCTCATCAACGCTTATATCTGAAACAGCTTCCACACAAAAAGATGCTTTACAGAAGTCGTGGAACAAAAACAATGAAAACAGTGCAACCAAACATTCACAGGTACACACATATATGACTGCAAACACACACACACATGCACACCTACATACAAACACACAGAGAGAGAAACACAAGGACCTCGCATGACTATTTAATTTTCCTTTGGGATTAATAAAGTATTTTTGAGCTGAATTGGCATGAGCGTCTGTGGACCTGCAAACGGCCACAAAGGGGACGCCGTCTCTACTGTCTGTAATGAAGACACACTGGAGATGTGCTAAACCACAACATTAAAGGTAACAAATTATTGAAAAAAAAGTAACAGTAACAATCCAAAACATCTACACCTGATAACAATGAAAAGCAAGAAAGTATGACCAATACATAAAAATAAATTAGAATATTTTAAAACAATAGTTTGAAAGCCAAAATAGGTCAAAACTATAACAGCATATTAGGGCCTTTGTAGATAAAAGAAAAGGGAGGAGTAAATCTCTGCAAAAAACATAGAAATTTTGGGATCAGCCTGAGAAATTTTCTAGAAAAGGCAAGGACAGTTTTGAGCTCCAAAAGCTGAAAATTTGTTAGAAAAAAGGTTTGAGATTAATTTCAGATTTTTTTAGACAAAACTTGGAAAATAATGAGTTTCAAAAGGTGAACATTTTATGGGAACTTTTCACATAATAAATCTTTTAAAAAATAAAATAAAATAGAAAAACAACATGCCGTGCCGTCATCCTCCTACAACATCTCCTCCATGTCCAACCTGAACCCAACAGCACTTTAATCACCACATGTACAAAGGAAGAAATTTAAATTAGTCCGTTTTTAACCAATTTGTAGACAAGCAGTTTGTTTACTTGCAAAGGAAACACTAAGTGTCTATGGAGAGGTAAAGTGCTGATCAGACCCCAGGGCAGGATTACAATCTGCTCTATTAAACTGTGTGTATCCAAGACTAAACCGAGAGATCACAAGATGAATCAAACATTCTTCTTTCAGTTCATTTATTTCCACGTGTCTAATGTGATCACAGTACAGTGAAGTACTGCTCATCGGTCAAATTCCTCCAGCCCTCTGACGTCTCAACATCAGACCAGCCAATGCTGTGAACATTCCAAAACAGTTGATGTTTGCCAAAAGGTTTAGAGTTTCTTATTTACGTCAGTGTCAGTGAATGGAAATTCTATTTACAGTTTTCCTCAGTTGATAAGCCTGTCGCGATAAGCAATAAATCAATTAATCGCATGATGGATTAAAATGAGCTGATTTTTTGAGTTGCAAGTGGTTTTTATTTCAGTTTTATTTTGGATTTTTGAAAACTTTTTGAGTTACAGTCTTACGCCTTCAGTACAAAATTAAAGTTTATCAGTCTTTGAGAGGATGAACCTGCATCCTTGTGCCATCAGTGATATTATTGATGACCTGCAATAGTCTCACTCTCTCAAAATGGACAGTTCATCAATCAGTGTCTGCATCATCAAAATGAAAGGATCGGACACCATTATTTATTAACATGTTATTTAAATGGCTTTATCGTTATGACTCGTCACTCTGTGATTTCCAATATGACAAAAACCAAAAAAAAAAAACAGGTCTGTTCCAAAACCTGAATATGCTCACAAAAGCAATACAGTATTTACACAGCATTTTGAATTTTGGTTAAAGTTAGACATTTTCAGGAAAGAACAAGAAAGAAAAAAATAAAATTGATAGATTTGTTTGAAATTGTTTGGAAGAAACTGGCGCAGGGCCAAATGGATTTACAATTTGTGAAGCATGAAACGGATAAAGTGATGAGCAGAAATGACTGAATGTTGGGGAGGTTCAACTAACAGCAAGAAAACAATTGAGAAAAACAATAAACATGTAAATAACCTTTATATTCACTCCATATTAACACCGAAAGTGCAAAAACGTACAGACTTCCGAATACAGAAGACTATAGCAGAATGACTCAGCTTTACCTGAACATATTAAGGCCTGAGGACGATGTTAACAAAAACAAGGCTGTTTTCATACCTGGTAGTCCAGCAGACTCAGTTCGATTGGAGACTAAAATTTCTATGAACTATTCTGCCCTTGGCCTGTGGTGACGCTGCACAAAGATTACTGAAAGAAATGACACAAAAACCTCTGAAGAAGACACTGAGCACAACT